TAAATATCTGCAGGGTGGGTGTCAGGAGGACGGGGCCAGACTCTTTTCAGTGGTGCCAGCGACAGGACACGGGGCAACGGGCACAAACTGAAGCAGAGGAAGCTCCAGCTGAACATGAGGAAGAACTTCTTCCCTCTGAGGGTGACGGAGCCCTGGCCCAGGCTGCCCAGGGAGGCTGTGGAGTCTCCTTCTCTGGAGATATTCCAGCCCCGCCTGGACGCGGTGCTGTGCAGCCTGCTCTGGGTGACCCTGCTTGGGCAGGGGGTTGGGCTGGGTGACCCACAGAGGGCCCTGCCAACCCCAACCATGTGGGATTCTGTGGGGTCTTGTGTTCTTTGCCTGGCATCGGTGCCGCTCGCCTGCCACGGCCTGCACCCCGTCCTGGCTTCTGGCCGGCAGCGAGCCCCCGAGGAGGGGCTGCTCTGGCCCAGGAAAATGAGGAACTGCCAATGCAAATCTGCATCTGGGCTGCGCAAACGAAAGGAGCCAGCCTTGCTCAGCACCGTGCGGGCTGGCACTGAGAACCCCGCGTCTCCTCCTCTGCGGAACGCAGGGCAGGTTTTGCCTGTCAAATGTTGTTGGCTGGGGTGATTCGTTGTTGTTCGCACGGTTTCTCCTCCTTCTGTTCTAAGGAAATGAGGTCAAATGCTGCCACGTGATGAGTCTTTTCTTACTCCTTATGTCCTGTCTGCTGTGTTAAAATCAGTAAGGCTTTACAGCTAACGTACCAGACGATTGTCTCTGGTAGCCTTCTGCCTGTTAGGGGACCTAATATATACTTACAAATATCTGCAGGGTGGGTGTCAAGAGGACAGGGCCAGACTCTTTGCAGTGGTGCCCAGCGACAGGACAGGGGGCAACGGGCACAAACTGAAGCAGAGCAAGCTCCAGCTGAACCCGAGGAAGAACTTCTTCCCTCTGAGGGTGACAGAGCCCTGGCCCAGGCGCCCCAGGGAGGCTGTGGAGTCTCCTTCTCTGGAGATATCCCAGCCCCGCCTGGACGCGGTGCTGTGCAGCCTGCTCTGGGTGACCCTGCTTCGGCAGGGGGTTGGGCTGGGTGACCCACAGAGGTCCCTTCCAACCCCGACCATTCTGTGCTTCTGTGATTCTGTCTGTTGTTCATCACTCCTCCCTCAGTGGAAGCAATGGTGGGAGGAGGTTCTGAACACCACCAAGCAGCAGGGTTTCATTGGTGGCACAGCATCCCTGGGAGTCCAGGCTTTGGTAGGCGTTTGGATGGGTGGAGGAGTTACTAAAGCAGCAGAAGTAGCTGGCAGGGTTGTTTGAAACAAGCGTTAAAGATGCGTAAACTGTCGAGTGGGGATTGCATAAGACAGGGTGGTGATGAAGCAGGCGTGATTCAAAGCTCTGCTCTTTGTGGGTGTTTAAGCTCAGCCTTTTTCTCCTTCCCCACGCAGGACCTTAGGCGGCAACTCGCCGGTGCCCTCGCCGCCAGCTGAGCCGGCTTCCCCGCATGTCCTGTCCCCGGCTGCTGTTACCTCTCCCAACTTCTATCCCGAAACCTGGATCAGTATGGACCCGTCTCAGGACTTCATCCAAGTGCCTGTTCTGAAGGAAGACCGAAGCTACAGAACCATTTATAACCTGTTCCACAAGACTGTGCCAGAGACCAAATACAAAATCTTGAAAATTCTGAGAGTGCAGAATCAGTTTCTGTGGGAGAAATATAAAAGGTAAGGTAATGCAAATATCATGCTTTTACAATAGTGGGAAAACGTCTTAAAATATACCATTTGGCCTGCAAAATAGACCTTGATCGTGAATTAGGATATATAAACTCCAGATTTTCTGGAGAAAAGGAGCAGCTTCAGTTGAAGAACTTTATCTGAAAAATACCAGAAAATATCTTATCCTGAAATTTCCCGCTTAAGAGGTTTGATACGCTCTCTACTGATAGCTTCTGCAAAATGTATCTTCACAGAAAGCTCAGAAGAAGTCCAGGGTATGTAGGTGAGAAATCGTGCAGTGTCTTCGAGAGGTGTCTCGGAGCGGCCTCGCAAAGACGAGCCCCTGGGGCAGCCGGTCCCGCTCACACCCTGGGCGTGATGAGCCCCATGGGGCAGCCTGGACCAGGGCTCCGTCACCCTCAGAGGGAAGAAGTTCTTCCTCCTGTTCAGCTGGAGCTTCCTCTGCTTCAGTTTGTGCCCGTTGCCCCTTGTCCTGTCGCTGGGCACCACTGCAAAGAGTCCTTCAGTTTGTGCCCGTTGCCCCTTGTCCTGTCGCTGGGCACCACTGAAAAGAGTCTGCCCCCGTCCTCCTGACCCCCGCCCTGCAGATATTTGTAGGCATTTCTAAGGTCCCCTCTCAGCCTTCTCTTCTCCAGGCTGAACAAGCCCAGCTCCCTCAGCCTCTCCTCGGAGGAGAGATGCTCCCGTCCCTTTACTTTAGGAGCTGGAGGGAAACCTGCTTTTCCCTTGCAGATCTGCAGCGAATGCTCATCTCCGCTTTCCGTTCTGTCTTCCAGGAAAAAGGAATACATGTCCAAAAAAATGACCGGCCTCGACAGGATCATGAACGAGAGGCATTTGTTCCACGGCACCTCCCAGGACGTGGTGGACGGCATCTGCAAGCACAACTTCGATCCGCGCGTCTGTGGGAAGCACGCCACCATGTTCGGGCAGGGCAGTTACTTCGCCAGGAAGGCCAGCTACTCCCATAACTTTTCCAAGAGGTCACCCAAGGGCGTCCATTACATGTTCCTGGCGAAAGTCCTGACGGGCCGGTACACGGTGGGCAACCACACCATGAGGCGCCCGCCGCCGGTGAACCCCGGCAGCATCACCAGCGACCTCTACGACTCCTGTGTGGACAATTACTTCGAGCCGCAGATTTTTGTCATTTTTAACGATGATCAGAGCTACCCGTATTTTATTATCCAGTACGAAGAGGTTAGCAACACTGTCTCCATTTGAAAACTTGAGCTGCTGCATTACTCGGTTTAATAAACTCTCCCGCCCGGCATCGGGAGCGGTTTTTGTGGAAAAAAAACACGGACCTTGCCGAACTGAGGAAATGACTTGCTTGGAAGGAACTAAATCTCAAAAATAGAGAAAAGCAGATCTGGAGTGACCAACTGTGCACTTGCTGTTTGATTATGTGTGTGCAAATTGTAAATATTTTTCCATTGTTTATAGTTGACAATCTGTGCCTTTTGTTATAAAACACTGTTTATTTATGTTAGTAAATATTCATGTTTAAAGTGTGCGTGTGTATAATCCCAGTGTGTTCCGTCCATTTTAGAGCGGGTAGGAAATTGCTTCTGCCCTCATCTCAAAATCTTAAGCCCGGCCTTTGCTAGGTAATCAGAACCAGATAATTTTCAGCCCTAGAATATTAAATAAGAGATTCTCCCAGCCGCTATCTTTTATTACCGTATTTCAGAAGGATTGGGAGAGATTACGAACCCAACATCCTGCTCATACTTTGGATTATTAAACAGGACAACACAAATAAATGCATCATTTTCCAAAATCAGCCCCAAGTAGAACCGGGAAGGGGTCAGGACGGCACACAGCCCGTCGGGGCTTGAAGCCGGCCGGCTTCCCCGCAGCTCGCAGCACGGCCAGTTTATCCCCGTTTGCCGCCGTGGCGGGGCTGGGCAGCCCCCGGCTCTGTGCCATCGACCCCGGGCCCAGCCGGGCACGTGCCGCCGGGCACGTGCCACCGGTCCCCGTCCCCGCCGGGCATCCCCCCTTCAAGGGGGGCAGCGCTGGGGAACGGGTTTCTTGGAAAACAAACCCCAAACGAAGCCTCTTTTTGATGAGGTTTTCAGTTTGATGAAGGATGAAGATTTGTGTTAATGTCACTTAACGAGGCTGGTATGACATGAATTCAGAAGTGGTTGATACATTGAAATAACGGTCAACGCGTAATCCTCGTTGGATCAGGGTATGGGTTTGGGTTTTCCAGGCAGCTGTGCTTGGCTCGGTGCTCTGTGGTATCATAGAATCATAGAATGGTTTGGCTTGGGAGGGACCTCAAAGCTCATCTGGTTCCAACCCCCCTGCCATCAGCAGGGACATCTTCCACCAGCCCAGGGTGCTCAGAGCTCCATCCAACCTGGCCTTGACCCCTGCCAGGGAGGGGGCAGCCACAGCTTCTCTGGGCAACCTGGGCCAGGGCCTCACCGCCCTCATGGGGAAGAATTTCTTCCTCATATCTAATCTAAATC